CGTGGACACGGTGCTGTCCATGAGGATGACGTAGTCCTCGCTGATCTCCTTGGGAAGGCGCAGGTAGTGGAGCTGAGAAGGGAAGGAGAGGTTGGTTGCCCGCCCCGTGGGGACGGGGGCTGAGGGCCCGGGCCGCAGGCGCCGCTCACCTCGGGCTCCCCCGTGTCGTGGTTGGTCTGGATCAGGATCTTGCCCAGACGGATGTCCTTGCACACGGCGGTGAGCGCCTGCTCCATGGTCTCACCGCGGCGGGGGGGAGCAGCCCCAGCAGGGCAGCTCGGATGCGCAGGGACAGACCCCAGGAGCCACCGGGTTTTCCCGGTCCGTGCCGACCAGAGACGGGGCAGCCACGTGCTTGCAGGGAGCCGGGGCAAAATCTCACCCTCTCCCTGTGGAACCGCTTTCCTTCATACATTGTCCCCTGGGGCGTCTCCACAGTGACCGACTGCAGAAAGGGGAGGAGAAGGGAGTGGGGATGAAGCCGGGCCCCCGTGTAGCCCAGGGGCTCAGGAGGGGGAGACGTGGCCACGTCCGTGCCCCAGGGGTGGCCGCTCACCTTCAGTGGCAGGAAGGAGAGGGCGTGCTCAATCAGCAGCCTCATCAGGCGCTTGGAGTAGAAGATGAATTCATCCCTGGTCGTGTCCTTGTTCCTGTGGAGTGAGGACACCCGCGTGAGACGAGCAGCGGCCCTGCTCCACCCCAGACAGCCATCGGGCTCCAGAGGAAGGCCGGCAGGGACGGAGAGCAGTCCTCGGGAACCTGGGAGCTCTCGGGGAGGAGGCGCAGGGAGCAGCCATCAATGCTTCAGGGCCTGCTGAAGACCTGGGGCGCTGTCAAGAAGGGTGTTTGGTTCCCCTGGAAGGGGGACGCAAAGCCTGCAGCGGATCACGCAGACCAGATAAAGTGAAGGGACACCACGCGATGCTGCTCGGTCCTCTTTGGGACACAGGGGACAGGTCGGAGCTGGCACCACATGGTGGGCCAGCCAGACTAGCAGAGCGAATACGGCCAGCAGCGAAAAGGAGGGATGAGTGAGCCTGGCACCAGCAGCCCGGTGCAGACGTACGTCCCGACACTGAATGGAGACGGGGCAGG